AATATGCACCAATCAGCTTTAAGATTTTGCCTTCGTTTTAGATGCCAGTAAAACCATACACTAACGTTCCTGGTAAGATTTTTATATATAAACTTTTTTGAAAATAAAATTAAAAGCCGGGTTTCTGGGTCATTTTTAAAATTTTATGAGAATTAACTTTGTATGGCCTAATATATTATGTGCTGTATTTTGTAAAATAAATTTACTGTATTAGTCTTTAAAATTTTACGTATACAGTATATTTGATTTTATTAATGTACTAAATTTCATATTTTTCACTATATCAATTGTCTCTTTTACAAATATTTTTTTTCTTTATTATCTTCTTTTCAAATAATTTAAAATTTAAAATTATCTTTGAGTTATATATAAGTGGAAAAATGAATTTCAGGCTTTCAAGTTTATCATTCATTATTTGAGTGATCGGATATATTGATATTCCCAACAAATTAATAGATTGTGTCCGGTACAAAATATAATCGAAAGTCCGATGACAAGTTTCCCTTACTGTCCAGAGCTGCAACAGGTGCCCTGCATTAGTGTTCAGGTCAGTGAAGTTTTACTATCCAGACTTAGGGTATCCTTGTAAAATAATAACGATTTCAAAAAAAGTATTTAATAAAACAACGATACAATATATTCATTGGCATCTAGTGTAGAATCATATATTAAAGTTTAATTTTCACATTGGAAACTTTATAAGAACCAACGTCAGATAAAAGCTTAATTGGCATAGTAGAAACTGCCTCGCTAACTTCTCTACCTTTCCTTTATCTTGGTTTGCTTTTTTAGATTTTGATGTGATTATTAAATTATTTCGATACGAAACTGATAAGAATAAAATTACTGAGCCTAAGAAAAAAAGTCCACAAAAATTAATTGTTATTAAATCGAACAAACAAAATCAAGATCATAAGGCTAAGAATCCAACCAACTTAGGACCTTAATCCAACTATAGCGCCAAAACCTTAAATTAAAACCTTGGAAACCTTAAACCTTGAAAATAATGATGGAACTATACCCCGTTGATGAACTCGGGAATAGAACGGTACGAGACTTAAGGATATCGTACTCACACTCGTGCCTCATTTAGGTATAAGACAAGCCACACAGAGAACCGTGACGTATAATACAAATCGAAATCGAAATTAATCGATTAGTTGGTTAGTTGACAACTAATCGACTGAACTTTTTAGATACCAACTAAAAAATTAATTGATAAGTTGTAAAGAATCGATTGAAAAATTATTTATTTACTTAATGAATTAGTTGCAACTAATAGATTAATCGACCAGTTGCAACTAATCGAAGCTACAACTAATCGATTAGTTGCGACTACAACTAACTGAAAAAATAATGATCAACTAGTCGATTAAAAAAATTTTGCCGATTTGTAACCGTCCTCAAGCGGGCTGGATCGTTAATTTTAATATCACAAATTTTAGTATTAAAATTACATTAATTTTAGTATTAAAATTACATTAATTTTGGTATTAAAATTACATTAATTTTAGTATTAAATTACATTAATTTTGTCGGCAACTTCAATAGATTTTCTAATAAGTGTTCAGGCAAGTAAAAAGTCCCACTTTCTTGTAAATAATTTCCAATCTTTTGCAAACCTTTTTACCACAACAAGGAACATCTAACCCTTTCTTCAGTTTTGCAAAAATCATGAATACTAAATACCCGAAAATTCCACAAATAGTTAAAGATGTTGTACCGAAGATAGTATCCTAACACCTTCCTCCGTTATTACTAAGCTGACGACAGTGAATACCAAAAGACGTGTTTTTACTAAAAAAATTTGTAGTACGTGGAAAATGAGTAAAGTGTGAAACAGCTGTAGTACGTAAAAAAGTAGGCAGAAAAGGTATAGCGGATGAATTGGTTGGAAAGGGAGAATGAGTAGAAAGAGCCTTCATTACTTTTTTCATTTCTCCAAGATGAAGTTGATCTAACATAAGCTTCAAAGAAGTTAGAGTATAATTCTCATCGAGGTTCGAATTTCGAAACAATATAATATTAATGATATACTTACAATATTTAACTGATGAAAATGTTTAGTGGACCTTCAGGTGTAAAGAGAAAAAAACAAACAAACAATATTAACGATAATGCTCACAAAAGAAAAAACTCAAATAAATAATAAAAGTTCAAATAAATATATCTACAAAATCTGATCATCGTATATTCAACCAATCAGCATCACGGAAGCGAACAGTCCTGTTATCATAGTTAGGGTTGCAACCAGTAAGACTCTGAATGGTGTACATAAAATTGATGAATTAAGTGATTAAAAAAAGAGTATCTTAAACACAAAGAACGGACAACCTAATAAACAAATTATTTAAATATCTAGGCTCCAGACCCCAACGGTTCCTGTTTCCTAGTTTATAAGATTAGCTCATAAACAATCTGATATTACTATATAGTATAATTGATAAAATGAAGTCTCATTTATTTGGAGACCTGCCTCATGTTCGTCCCCACAATAATGATAAGTAAGTTTTCAAAATAGAAACACGTGGCTGCCTAAAGTTGGATGTTAATCCGCGACAAATATTAATCCTCTACATACGTACGTACGTACATACGTACCATTTTTCAATGATATCTGATCGATGATCTTTTTCTTGATTTGTACATACAATGTAATCTGATTTCCAAAATCATCCCAGTTTCGTGACGATTACACAGCGACATGCGTTATTTTTATAGATCATTAAATTTCTAAATGGTTCAATCCGATAAAGTCTAGGCATTCTCTTTCGAACTTTTCTATCCGAAATTTATTCCTTTATTAACATTTCGTTGTCTATTTTGCCGCCTATAGTTTTGGAGGATTAAATATTGTTAACATAATCTCAAATGTTTGAACATAATTTCTTCTGATTGCTTTCTGTTTATTAATTTATATAAATAATGATTTATTTGTTTTTAAAAATAAATGATGAATAAAGTAGATCAAGTCATTAATTTCAAAAATTCAATTTTATACAGTATATTCTTTGAAAGTTATTTATTTATTAAAAATTTTTATTGGGCAACGTCTCCTTTGACGCTTTCATATACAGCACCGATAATTTTAAGTCCTTCAGCACGTTTTTTAAGAACCAATTTAGGAATATTAGGGTCTGACAGTACTCGATCACATACTTCTCTCAAGACACCTTCCACTTCAAGTTTAGAGCCTTTCCATAGTGCCGTTAATCCCTTTTGATTAAAATAAAGTAATTATCAACAGCAGGTAAAGATAATAAAAAAAATAAAATAATAATAATATATATATACTTTTGATGCTGTCGCTTCTTCCAATTTACTTTTATCTTGCGCGTTCAGACCATCTTGTTCAGCTTTCTGTAATTCCTTGAAGGATTGTTGTAAATCTATAGCAGATCGTAACGTCGAGATGGTTTCTGAAAACACATGACCCTTTTCTCGGAGAATATGTCCAAATCGTGGTACTCCGAAAAACTGCTCAGATGCAAGGTACTGCTTTGCTTTTAATGAATAGGTAAAACCAATTGCATGCAATAATTCAACCCCATAAGACTCAGCCTTGAGCTCCTCTGCTTCATATTCAATAATGCTTTTGAAATCTGTAGTAGCTGAAGGATTGTAGTCGATTCCATCCACATACATTGATAACTTGTGTATTAGATTAGCGACCAATTTGTCTATGCGTTGTTGTCGAATTTTATCACGTTCTTCGTCATGTGCTGTTTTAGTTGTTTCTCGGCGAATTTTTTCTTCTTCTGTGAGACCTTCTTCATTTGACATTTCATCTGCTTTTTGTAATACTTCTTTCATATCTCTTCCAATGGATATTTCACCAATTATATCAACAAACCGGTCTCCGCCAAATTGTTGCCTGAAGAAATCTTCCGGATTTACTATTAAAAAAAAGAAAGAAAAGATGATGTATAAGCATAATAAATTGTAAAGTATAATTCTAATAATTCATAACAATTTGATTAATTACCAAATCCTCCTTCAGGCTCAACATTATTTTTTCCACCAAATTCATTATATCTTTGTCTCAAGTCAGGGTTTGACAAAATTTGATACGCATCAGATATTTTTTTAAACTAAAACAAAGTAAAATTCGTACATTATTATCAGCTGCGACGCAAAATTATTCATAATATTAAAATGTAAACCTGCTGTTCTGCGTCTGCTGATTTATTTTTATCCGGATGAAACTGTAACGCAAGTTTATGGTATTGTTTCTTGATTTCACTGCTAGACGCAGTCGGAGATACTCCAAGTATTTCATAAAGCTCTGTCTCTAGAGGTTCTTGTGCTAATTAACAGTAATAGCATATCAGAAACTGTGAAAATAAACTAAAGTAAAAGTCGCAAAGAGCAACGTCGTTGCTCAATAAAATACTTCACACCTGTTCCAAATTGACGTTTTTTTTTAGAGCCACCAGTTTTGTTTGAGTTCGTTCCATTTATAAACTTAGTTGCATCCTGGTCTATTTCGAAACTATTTATACTTTGACACGAGTAACATTTAACGGATATTTGAGAGGGTAACGTTACTGTTGTAGGTATCTGAAACTCTAGTTGAGAGTTGCATTGACTACATTGTCTATGATAGAATTCTGGTTTACGAGATATAATAACGTGCGTTCCCATTTTTATAACTAATCGGTTATTGCATTTCTTAAAGATTAAATTCAGTGGGCGTAAAGGAACAACAGAATCAGAATTTATACATAGACTATATATCATTCACATGAGACTGTTAAGTAAAGTGTAAGGTTGGTGTTAGGTAGTACCAACCCGAAATCCAGCTTGTCGGTTAAGTTAAAAAATTAATAAATAGAACTTATTTCTTAAACTTTGAATTTTACATAAACGATGGCTGATAAAAGAAAAGATTCGCCTTCTTTGTCACAAAGATCTGGTCAACTCGTCAAGAAGCAAGTGCCAGAACAATCAAATAACGCGTTAATCACTTCGACAACGAGTTCCGGAAATGGTGCTCTAACACAAACGGTTCGTTTAAGAGTGATCCACCTAATCGCTGCTTGTTTTTTTGTTTCTAAGTTATACTCTCCTTATAGGTCAAACGCACCTCTGGGCTTCAAGCACCTATAATGTTATTAAGTGGACATCAGGTGTGAGGTTGTTGTTTTGCTTCAAAAAATTAATAAATTTCTGTCAATATAAATAAACAATTTCTAACTCTTTCTAACTTTTTTAGGGCGAAATTTATACTATAAGATTTGACCCAACAGGACAACACATTGCTTCAGGATCCTTCGATAGAAATATATGTATGCAATGCATATCAGTTTTTCTCCTCATTCATTACAATTTTATTAATTCAATTTTTTTCTTATCAAAATTTTTTTTTTCTTAGTACTGTGGAACACTTATGGCGATTGTCTTAATTATGGCCTGTTAAAAGGTCACAACGGTGCCATTATGGAATTACAATGGTCTCGTGACTCAAGGTATCTATATTACTGCTTTATATCGATTTTTCTATATATGTTTATTGATTACTTATGTTCTAAATCTTTAGTAAGATATATTCATGCGCAACAGACAAAACTGTCAGTGTGTGGGATGTTACAACCGGTATGAGAATAAAGAAATTTAAGGGTCACACATCTTATGTTAATAGTGTGTGTGCTGCACGCAGAGGTAATGAAATTATAGTTAGTGGTAGTGACGATGGAACTATTAAGGTGAGAAGACTTGAATTTGGTATAAATTTTTTATTACAATCATAAATTTTTTTTTTTTTTTTTACTATTGATGATAATTTAGATATGGGACCTTCGTCAAAAAGACGCAGTAGACACATTTAGTCATCAGTACCAAATAACTGCGACATGTTTTAGCGAGGCAGGTGATTTGGTCTTCTCTGGCAGCTTAGATAATGATATTGCAGTAAGTTCTTTCATTTTATATTTTTGATTAAATAGTAAATAGTAATTAATCGTTTGATTTTTCATGCAAATAAACTTGATTGTATTGATTATATATATCCTACATGAAGACTTGGGATTTACGTAAAAAAAATGTCGTTTATATTCTCAAAGGGCATCAGGATATTATTTCTGGCATAAAGTTGAGCCCTGATGGATCGTACCTTCTGTCAAATGCCATGGATGACACTGGTATATATTATCATTGAACCTTATATATACATTCAATTTATAAGCGTTACTTATGCATAAATCATCTTTTAAGTACGAATTTGGGATGTAAAACCTTTTGCTCCTGCGAATCGTTTACTCAAGATATTTGAAGGTAATTATTTTATGAATGTGTTATAGCTTCTTTTGCTCATTAACGCATCTTAATCGAAGTTTATATTAAAAGGGGCACCTCATGGATTTGAAAAAAATCTCATCAAACCTGCATGGTCACCTGATGGATCACAAATTGCTAGTGGAAGCAGTGACCGGACTGTTGTAATTTGGGATGTAGCTTCCTGCAGAATTCTTTACAAACTACCTGGTCACAAAGGCTCTGTTAATGAAGTAGACTTCCATCCTAAAGAACCAATTGGTAAGTTATAATAATAATGTTGCTTATTATGTGTGAAAGTCTATTATCTATATATATACCAGTGAGTTCTTTAGACTGGCTCGGTCTATATCAAGTTTATTCATTAAATATTAATTCTAATCAATATGTAATTTAGTTGCATCATGCAGTACTGATCGGCATATCTTTTTGGGAGAGATTAATCCAAGCAAATAAAGGATTTTGAAAATTTCGTAAGATTTGTAAGTTAATTATCATGAAATTTGCAGCTCTTAACGTTTAAATTAAATTTTCTTACAATGATTTATTCACATTTAAATAAATCAAGGAGTATTTTAATGGAGACCTTATAAATTACCATGATTTTTATCGGAAATCGATCATATGAAAATAATTGTCACCGATTTCAAAATCAGTTTTTTTTTTTTTTTTTTAAATGAAAAACAAATATAAAACATCTATCTTTTTATAAAAGATAGAAAAAACCAATAATAAGCATTTCAACCTCATGTTTAACATAAGGTTCTATAACGGTCACACGATTTGTTACATTTAGAAATTTTATTAATAGATTACGCAAGTTGGTGAATTTACAGTTTTTATTGCTCAAAACCTTGGGCAAAGCACGCAGCGTTTTTACCGATGTTTTTATGAAAAGGATAAATATATACGTAGCACCATGCGATGTGCTAATTTATCGCATGTATTATAAATTATAATTTGTAAAGTCAACCCAATTTTTATATAAAAAATAATACTATATATATAGATTAGAATTAGAGTTAGGGTTAAAGGTTGGTTTAGAGCAGCAAGATAGAAGTTCATTTTAATTGGTTGTTGATTCTGATTGTCAGATTAAATCTGATTGGTTCGTGTATTGCATACTATTAGTTTTTTAAAAGTCAAGTGCGCACATGTGCGGATTCAATCGAATTGCTTTATTTTAAAATTTGATTGGCTTGGCTCAGCTTACAGCTAACATTAATCAAGCCAGCTGATTTATTAGCTCCAAATCCAGAGCCAAGCCATTTATAAGCCAACAACCTCAAGCCAAGCTGAGCCATTACTATAAACATAAGGTGCACGAGATTAGAAATGTGTCAAGTTAGATGTGAATTCTATTATCTTGAAGCTAGTAATGCAAACAGCTGGCTTGGCTTGGCTTATGGCTGATATTAATCAAGCCAAGCTAATTTATCAGCTTCAAATCCAAAGCCAAGCCATTTATGAGCCAACCAATCTCAAACCAAGCCAAGCTATTACTATAAATATAAGATATACAAAATTAAAAATATGTTAAGTTAGATCTAAATTCTATTATCTTGAAGCTCTTATATAGAATTTTGAATATTTAGAATATAGATTATATTTGAACAACTTTCTT